TCCTACGCTACTTGCTACGTTTTGCCGCATTTGCCGCGTCGTTTGCTCGCATCGTACCGTTACGTTTCGTTTGAGAGAAAAGTGCATTGCCCGACGATTTCGAGAAGCACGTAAAGCGAGCATAAACGTTCGAAATGACATTCTATCGGCGGGAGCTTTCTGTGAGGCTTTCAAATGTAACGTCATGAACGTTGCTGTAACTACATTGAAAAAAATGTTATAGGAAGGTATTGAAATTTTGCCCATTTCACTCGCTATATTTTAATTCTTTTCTATTTTTTTTCCACCAACTTTAAATATATGTCTATTTTGCTTTGCATGCGAAAAGTGCGAGGAAGAGCTCAGTTAAAGCGGATTGATTTAGATTGCGATCATTTTCAATGGACAAAATGCAGTTATTGCGGTGCACAAAAGTGTACTTGTCGACAAGACGTTACGTAAAGTGGGATTATTGAAACGCATCCGATTAGCTACTATTTGTGCCATTGTCCCATCCAATTCTCTTTTCTAATTCTTTCATTGCAGATAATCGAATTTGCGAACAATTCTTACAAATTTCCTAACTTTGTCAATTCCTAAATCACAACTTTTCATGATTCTTTAGTGATTCATGTTGGAAGCGCACAGAGTATAAAGTTTCTGTTATTTGAAATGTCTGTTCACGCGAGAACAAGCTTTCGATCCGCAAGAAGCCAACAAAAGACGACCTAAGCACTTAAAGGGCGATCCAATAATAACAGTAAAGTTCAAGAAAAGTTTAAACCAAGTCAGCAGTTTTACACACAAAATAGTTAAAAAATTGGGAAAGGTCAATAGTTTAAACCGTCGAGCTCTATTGTTTTCTTTTACCGTTTCTATGATTTTTCTAATGTAATTGTAAAAATGTTAATAAGAGAAAAAGAATTAATTGAAATATGAAGCAGCGATTATTTTCTTCTTGTATTTTTCATTTGTAAAAGGTGATAGTTTAAACATCGTACATTTCATTCTCAGAATTGTGCTTTTCAATTGTACTTTCCACACTTTCCTACAATTTTTTCTTTTTTCTGAAATATGTATGTAGAAAGTATAAGAAGAGTGTAGCTGCGATCGAATTTGCAATGTACGAATGAATTCAGTGATAATAAAGAATTAAATTATGATAATTTGAAATGTCTCGATCTGTTTGGTACTATTTGGGTCATCTGACCAAATTTTTAACTTCATTATCAAGCGAAGTTTAAGGAAAGTTTAAGGAAGTTCAGTGTGTCTTTGACACGAGTTTCGTTCTGTTCGCAGAGATAGTTACCTGACAGGTGTCCGCAGTGGCCATGAGGGTCACGAAGAGGTCGTACACTGTGTCACGGTATCTCCGAGCGCACGCGGAACATGTTTCTCTCGATCGTCCGCGGCGGACGCACGACAATACGCACATCGACGGCGCGAAGACCGCGTCTCCGCTTTACTCGCGCGGAACGTTAGTGACGACTCGCGGGGAAAAAAATGTAGACGACAAAAGAACGCGACAACGGGGAGTGCGCTTGTGAGAGCAGAGAACACACAGAGAGAAAGACCTGTCTCGCGGCGCTGCCGTCCGAAAACTCGTGCCGCGCGCTTGATGCAGCCGTCACGGTCTGCCCCACTGCCGGCGCCGCCGCCGCCGCCGCGCCGCCGTCGCCGCCGTCGCTCTGGAAGTTAATCGCCTTGGAGCAGAAACCCTTCGCGTTGTATACTACCGCCAGACCTCGTATCGCTGGCGCCGTGCACGCCTTGCGATTAGATCGGGCCTCACAGCACGGCGTCTGTGAGCGAAAGACGGATTGTGTCGAGAAGAAGAAATTCGGAATTAGTTTTATTGTCAAAAAAAAAAAATACCGCTCACCAACGATTATTTCCTAAAAATATATAATCGACTTTAGTTTTTTATGAATACAAATAAAACTTGTTAAACATCAGTCAAATTTGTATTTTTATTTGTATTTTTATTTTTTTGATTTATCCGCGTCGTTCGCCAAGCGTTCAATTAACACTTTGGCGAACGCACATTTTCACACGGCGATATACCTACTATGGGCGCGTGTTCGATGTATAAAGAACATAGAAGGTCCATTCAACTTTATGTGTTCGACGTATACACATTACGCGCACATTAATTTAAGGCACCAACGTGCGCACACGAGTAATGGCGAGCGGCGGTCGCGTTTGCTTTCCCGTCGCGATAAGAGGGTCCCTCAAGAACCTCGTGTTCTCTCTGTCTTTCTCAGGCACCTTGTGCTCACCCTCCGATACGCGCACCTTCGGGACGTGACGCACGGCGCGATTCGACGAGACTGATGGGCGGCATCGAAGGGCGCCTCACGCGAAGCAACATGCATTCTATTCTGCGACTATACTTGTCCTATTAAAATATTTCTGTCGATCTTAATGATTCTTCGATCAATTCATCAATAGTTTTCTCGACAAAAAGGTCGAGAAGGCTTTTCATTTCGAACGTTCCTTGCGCCTAAGCCGTAAATTGTGATTCTATTAAAATATAAAATTAGAAAAAAAATTAGATTTATACATGAAAATATGATAAATCAAGACGCTCACGTATTTCTTTGGTGTGAATAATTTCTTTTGGACAAGATAACAATTTCATTGCATATTCTCTCTTGCGCCATACGTGCGTTTGCTTCCTGCGTTACTACAAAGCTTTAATATTTAGTGAATACGCGAGCGAGTTCCGTGACACATAGCGAAGGGAGCTAGTACTTTGTATTCTTATCAATAATTAAATATATGACTGCTAGTGCGCGGTACGTGACGGAAATTCCCGATTGCTGCATGGCAATATATAAAAATACTGTATTGCAGAGGCGTATAAATGTAGACGTTTTCACAAGCTTGTCTTGCCGGTGCCGTAACGATAAAACCGTTTTTCAAGAAAAAACTGTTAATCAGCGAAAATTAAACGTAAATATTTAGATAATAGTCTGTTTCATTCCGCTGTATCGTAATTTTGTATTTAGTTGAACGTAGGAAATTGCAACCTGTATGTGTAATCATGCATTGATAATTACAGATTATTATCATTATAATTAGATGGAAATTCAAAATTAGTGGCAAATATTTTTCTCTGCTTAAAATGAAGAATTCTGATGAGGGAAAAACATATATTTATAGCAGTACGGTTAAAAATATTTAATATATTTAACTAGTTAAATGTTAAAAGTTTTTTAGGACAAAAGTTTCGAATCGATTCAAAGCGTATTACCACCTATGCGATGTTTGATCGACGATTATGATTATGCCTGATACCAGCTGACACGAGTGACTTTGGGACTAAATACAACAGCATCACCGCATAAAATCGTGTCTTAACGAGAATGAGAGCACGCGACTTAGCATGATCGGCAGTAAAAGTTATATCGCCGCGATATATCGATCGTGCTGGAAGCCGCGCGCAATACTGTTCCCTTTGACACGTTCTGCCTCGCTTAGTTTATCCTTGATTACCATAATGGAAAGCCAGAGCGTTGTGAAATGACCATACGACAAAGTCCTAAAGCTTATTGCATTGTTTCAAAAGCGGCCCGCGCTTCGAGACGATTATATGAATCAGCAGAGAAATACCATGAAGCTAAGTCTGAACTCATGGATCATTTCAATGTCGAGAAGAACGAGAAGGACAAATGGAAGCTGAAAAAGCTGCAGAGCCATTTCTATCGTGAGGTGAAGAAAAAGGAGTCCATGTCGGGCTCTCTATTACAGCAAATGCCTCTCTCGCGATGAAATTCTTGGCGGACAAAACTAAGCTCAGACCGAAGCGGATTTATCACCGCAGCAGATTTTGGCAAAAGCCGACAGCGCTAGGTGCAGTTTATATATACCGACAATAAAACCCCGGCAGCAAAAACCGGTTGAAGAAGTCCGGTGTAACAAGCGTCGTCGGAAAGCCATATTTTATTTGCATAATAAATCACGTCCGGGGTCATTCATACAAAACAAAGTTAAATTAACGAATGGTTGCTGCATTGCGACAATGGTAATTAAATCGAAAGTTCAATGAAGAAAGATTCAGTTTAAAAATTAGAAAAATAAAAAAATTCTAATTTATATTTATTTCTAATTACGGAGCGCGAAAGAAGGAAATTCAGCCAAAAGCGAAATTCTTCTGCGATAAAAAACGAAGAAAATGTGCTCGCCATGAACGTGTTGCGTCGATAAATTTTTTATTACGTCGTCACGTAACATCAAAGTAGTTCAGATAGTAGCCGGATGGATTATGCGAGGAACTGATAGTTCGGTATATAGACGGCTGGAATCCGATGGTATTCGCAGCGCAAGCGAACGAGAAAGCTCAATCGCAGCATATCGTCAGTTCCGATGACAGCCGGCTGAAAGGACCCTTCTCGACTCCTGGCAAGCAGGAGGACGTAAAAGTGATATCCGAGGATGTAATCGCGCCAACGATCGATTTCCTTGTCGCGGAATTGAAGGCGCGCGGCTCAAACGACCCGGAATTGAATTTCCACCGCGATCTCATTCCGGACATTATGAAACTTTCCGACAAAAGGAGCAAGCAATTTAAGGAAACGGTCCTGTGCATATTGAACGAGCTTTTCGACGAGAACGCTCGCGCCGGAAGACTTTGAATAAGATCGATTTATTTATCGATTATTTCAAAACTTGATGATCAAAACTTTATCTCGATACTACAAATATTTATGAAAACTAACGAAATATTTTTCAATGTTTCAAACTCGAAAATCTGCGAAATTTATATCTTATTTTTTTAATAATATAAATGAGAATACCCGTTTGTCTTCGATCTTTTAACTACCAATTGATTAGCTGTTAATAAAATTATAATCAATTTTAGATGATTTATGTATCCGATGCGATACTTAAATGATCTATAATCCCAATGGGTTAAGGGTCAAACGAGTGTGTCGCTTGAATTCACCCGCCGCGACGTGATCGTAGCCACTTCCGCAGCTGCGCATCGAACGCCAGAGGTCGTATATCCGGCCACGTTAAAATAGCTTGTTTGAGAGGGGAATAATTTGCCGGACGGAGATCGGAGTCGTGCTTCAGCCTGTTCTGTCGATTTTTCGGTTTCGAAGATCTTAAATGTGCGCGTATCAGTGACATAGTCGCGAAAGTGTCGCCGGCAAACTGACACCGAAGATGGATTACTCGTCAACCTGGCTGTTGCTTATCTCACTGCTCGGCACATTCCTACTCACGGGCGGCGTCGAGCTAACCTTCGAACTGGCCGACAATGCGAAAGAATGCTTTTATCAGGAGATCGAGAAGAATGTTTCATGCACACTGGAGTTTCAGGTTCGCAGCCGTCAAACGAAATCTGTATAGCTATATGTTTGCGCTGTGATGACATAATTGTCGTGGATCAGAGGCCAGGGTTCACGGCGTAGTACGCGACATTTGGCCGCCTGCGTGGTTTCAAGTTGAATAAGTGAATGTGAAGCGAGTAACGAATTATATTGCAAATAATGAACAGTGATAAATAACAAAAAATTTCAGAGTAAAATGAATGCAAACGACGCACTAAATTTTAGTTAGTTCCGTTAAATTTTGTTTTTTATTCATGTATTTATTTTATTCTCGTATTTTTCTTATTTGTTACTGCTTATTATTTGCATTATTTGGCATTTGCATTGCTCCACATTCATGTATTCTTCATATTTGCATCTTCAAGAAAAAGAAAACGCGATATAAAAATTTTATACAAATATTTTTCCAAAATTAAGAAACAGTTCTGCAGACAAATGTACAACGGTAATATTTTTTTTGTACGGTGTAGTTTTTCTTTATTAGTTTAGACATTATGTTCTTTAATTTGCACAATTATATGTAAATTTTATAAAATTCTAATAAGCTTTTCTGTGTTTTTTAGGTGGTGACAGGTGGCCAGTATGATGTAGATGTAACTTTAGAGGCTCCGAATAAAGAAATCATCTATAGTCAAGTGAAAACACAATTTGATTCGCACTCCTTTGTAACAGCTATGTCAGGAGTATATAAAGCTTGCTTCAGCAATGAGTTTTCTACATATTCCCATAAAATGGTATATGTAGATTTCCAGGTTGGCGATGAATTGCCACTTCCTGGCATCGGGGAACATGTCACAGTGATGACTCAAGTAAGTTAATTAAATTCAAACTTTCTACAATCAACATAAATTAAAAGCAATGATATCTGACATTCGATTTTTCTTACAGATGGAGTCTTCCGCGCAAGAAGTGCACAAAAATCTAATTAGCATTCTAGATTATCAGACGCATCATCGTTTGCGAGAAGCACAAGGTCGTAAACGCGCCGAAGAGCTTAACGAACGAGTACTCTGGTGGTCGGTGATGGAAACATTTTCTATCCTGTTCATCGCCGTGTCACAGGTGTTCATTCTCAAGACCTTTTTCACGGATCGGAGTCCCTCTCAAAGTTATTAGTGTGATTGCAAAGTAATGAAAACGAAAAAAAAAGACTCTCGTCGAGGTACAGTCGATTATAGATCGTACTTTCCTCGTGACGTCGTAATTGCTGTTTTTTTTTTTCATCACCGGTCAAAGTGCCATCGTAACGCCCGCTGATATGTCACGCTTGCTTTCTCTCGGCGGAACTTTCAATCGAGAATTTCTTGTCGAAGGAAAACTAGGATCAAAGAACCGGGCAAAACCGAGGTGATCCTCGCACCACAAACGCGTGTGTGTTCTTGGGTATTAATTTATTCCGAGGCTGTAAAAGGACATTTAACGCGGGTGTTGATACAACTCGGAGCAATCAAAAGGGACGAGTGCAAGTATTAGAATTCTTACACAACCCTTCTCGATGGACACTCTCAAGTTGTACTTATACTGGCACAGAGACAGTATAATGAACATTGAAAGCAACATGGACATCATGTTTTTCTTACTGTGAATGTGTAATATAATAAATTAAAAGAAACTTGTGTGTATATTTACGCCTATGTTTCGCGAAACGATTCGATTAATACCCATCTCTCGTTATCTGTCGCGCCTTCCGTTTATTTGTTTTAAGATCAATTGAGATAAAAGCTACTTAAATAAACGATTTGACCATTTACTTATTTTTTCAACTTAATGCAATACAATGATTCTATTAATTGAGAACATTGTTGCAACGTTTCTTATAATGGTACATATAAGCACAAAAAATGCCGCACAAATGGAATTACAATGGAATTTCCTTCTTTTTTTCATACGTGGCAGGTGTCATGTTTTCAGCCGCGTATGCACTGTATGCGTGTTATTTGATAAGCGTATCCGCTGATGCAGAAAACGGGTCAAGAGTGAGCTCATTAATTGTCCGCAGTCATTTTTAAATTACTCCAGAAACTCAGGTGCTGTACACCTGTACTATTTTCTTATATCATTCATTTGACAGTTGTCGACTTTAACGAATGTTTTACAATATTTTTATTTTATATAACTAGCAATTTGTAAAATATTAATAAAACTTATAGCATAATAATATTTAGGACATGCTTAATTTATTATTAACTCTAACGGGCTGTTTAAAAATGATAATAAAAATTGTAAATTAATTCCTTTTATAAAAATAACGATATTTAGAAATAATAATTTGATTATTTTTATTATTTATACATATATATTAATAATAAAAATAATATATATATATATATATATATATATTTTAATTTTTTTAATTATTTACATTGTTTAATCTATGTCATAAAAAATACTTTATTAATATATATATATATATATATATTTTAAAATATTTTTACAGCCACTTTTTTTCATAAAAAATAAAAGATATAATTTTTATCAGCCGAAAGATTTTTATATTTTTACATTGTTTAATCTATGTCATAAAAAAATCTTTATAATACGTGTCACTTATATATGTATGTCACAAAGAGACAGCCGGTACTGTAGACAGTTGAATGAGTTACTATTATCACGTTACGATACGCTACGCGAACAGCTGTTATAACCTGTTATAGTTGGGTCGCGGTGAAACATAATTTTTACCTAGGAAAGTTCATTAAATTTGACAATATGCAGGTAATTTCATTGCTAAATATCTAACTATGTTTGGTTGGATTAACATTTCACAGATATTTTTATTTATTCGAGCATTTAATTGTTTAAGCGAGTAAGTAAAGTTGACATAACATTGTTTAGGAGCAAGATATCCCAATCGACATTAATACTGGGAAATTGTTAGACTGGCTGCTTAATCGAAGGCATTGCAAAAAAGACTGGCATACGAATGTTTTGAGTATTAGAGAGAAAATTAATAATGCAATACAAGATATGCCTGCTCATGATGGCATTGCCACATTGTTATCTGGAGCTTGTAAGTATCAATTTATATAGTTTTACTTTATGATTTTTACAAGCAACGAGTGTGGATTTCTGATTTTTTTTACAGACATAAATTATTTTTACTGTGTCAAAATTGTGGAAATTTTGAAAGAAACGGAAGCAGACACGAAAAATTTATTTGGGCGTTACGGTTCTCAGAGAATGAAAGACTGGCAAGAGATTTTACGATTATATGAGAAAGATAATGTGTATCTTGCGGAAGCTGCACAAATGCTTATGAGAAATGTTAATTATGAGGTCCCTAGTATAAAGAAACAAATACAGAAGTTAGAGCAATCGATAACTGTAAATATACATGTTCATATAATATGTAATATTACTAATTATTTATTATTATTGTGTAAATGTATATAAAATTATATTTGCAGGATCTAGAGAAAAAGGAAGCAGAGTATAAAAAATCAGAGAATATTGCACGTTCAGAGTATAATACGTCGTGCAAACAATTAGGTATAACTGGTTATAATACATTCAGACGCGAGTTAATAGAGAAAGTCAAAGAACTTCCAGAAATTTACCACAAAATAGCGGAGAAGACAAAAAGTCTGGATAAAGTAGTAGAGTTTTACAGTGCATTTGTCGAATTTACTTTTGGCCAGCAGTACGATGGCAACTGCGTACCGATGATTAAATATGTGATAGGTATGTTGCTAAATTATTATTTCAAAAATTATTATATATACTCAGTAAGAAAAATGTTAACAATGTTGACAGATTGACAGCAAATTTTGATCAAATTTACTGTCAATCTGCTAACATCTCTGACATTTAGCTATCTGAGCGATAATATCTGAGTAAAAAGAAAATGTGGATATAACATAAATTGTTAAACATGATTTCCACAGAAAAAGGAAATACAACAACGTTTGAATATATTTATGGAGAAGCACCAGTATCGATAACTGAACCGCCATTAAACATCAAAGTGGATGAAGATGAGAATAATGAGAAAGCTGATATTACTATGGACGCTAATGTATGAATATTTTCAAGTGTTCATGAGAAATAAATTTTTGATTGTGTACTTATTCCGAGCATTTTAAACAGACCGTTGACTTTGGCAACTTGGACCTGAATGGAGAAATTGACTTTGGTGAAGAAGTCAGTTTGGACGCAGGAGGTGATATCGATTGGGGTGACGCTGCGGAGCAATCTGCAGGAGAAGAAATAGATTATAATATTTCCTGGGAGGAATCGGGTATAGTTGTGGAAGCGGCAGGTCAAGAAGGTGGGATGGCTGTTGGGACAGAAGCGTATACAATATTAGATAATCCCACGACGAGATCCGAATTTATTAATCAGCTGTTCGAGGTATGACATATAAATATATGTAAGATTAGTTATCGCTTTTAGCTAGATAAAAGTACATAAAAATATTTTATAGCTGCAAGCATTTATGAAGTTACGTTTGTACGAGTTCAAAGGAAATGACAGGAACAATCTCCTGAGCTTCAGCCAGATGCAGGATGCCTCTCCTATTCTGCAACTTTCTACCACGGAAACTACTCAAAGTATGCTGGATAATGTTCAAATTGTCCTGTCTGAAATATTACACAACGATGTCCAACATTTGCACAACATCAAACATTATTCAAGGTATGATTGATTAAATGTAATATATTTTTACAGATAAATCATACAGTTTTACAGATCTTTCTTGTTTATACGATATCCTTATCGTAGGTACGTAGATGTAGTGGCTGTCTCTTTAAAGCAGAAGTTAAACCTGATCGATAGAATGGTAAAGCAACAAAAATCCGTCCAGCAACAGCAAGAGGATGCGCGGAATCAAATCGAGAAATTACGTCCGTTATTAAAACTCGTTATACAACGCACCAAGGAACTGCAAGTAGAGGTATTTTATCTTTGCTCTTACTGATGCTACATCTTTTTTTTTCTTCGCTGAAACTATTTTTATGCTGCATTTAATTTCAGATCGAGCAAGACATTTCCAAGAGATACAAGAACAGAATAGTACATTTGACCGGAGGTATAAATACATTGTAATACAAATACATTGTAAATGTCGGACAATGAAATTGTTGCATTGAAATAATTTGTAAATAAATTCTATGTTAAAATATACAAAAAAATGAAATACTTTGCTACACTGTACAAAATATACGATATGATTTTTTACTCTTATACACGTCTATCTTATTTTTCAATATAAGTAATGACTTAAAATAAATTGATATTGCAATGACGTCGATTATCATTGTTGACGCAACTTCGTTGATACCCTAGAAAAATTGAAGCTTGTAATTTCTAGAATAATCCATATCTTCTTTGGCATTTAACTTATTTGTCCAAATATCGTGATGATTTTATTCCTTGACATACTATGGCTTCTAGGAATTACGTACACAAAACAAAGTCTTGTACAAAACTCCAATGTGAAATAAATCTAACATTGGAAGATAAAGTTTTTATCATCCTTCAGAACTTGACTCTGACCGATAAAAAAAACAATTTATATAATCATGAAGAGATTCTGCACGAGTCTCCAGGGCGATGAGGTACAAACTGCTTTGGTTGTAGGACAAGGATATCTTTTCAGACACTCGGCTAACGAGCGATCGCACTCGCATAAACGTTGTGAGCAAGATCCGGATCCTCCCCAGCTGCCGTGCTCAACCGCTGTAACAAAAATTTCACGGCCCATTTCACCTCACCGCGATATGTTTTATTACGCGTGTTGAAAATGAAAATAAATCCACAAATCACATAATGCTGAAAATTTAAAAGCGCCGTAAAACAAAGATGAAGAAAATTTTCATCAAATTAGAATCTTGTGTTCAATAAAAAAAAAAATAAACGAACCGCAAACTGGTTTGTAACCGTGATAACATCTCCAGTAATACGGTACGAAGTATTCCGAGAACATAGCACACTCTGTGGCGTCGTAGCACCAATCGTGCATCTTGCAGCACCTGAAACATTTCATTTTTGCAAACAAATGACATTCGTCTCTCGCAACTCTTGCGAACGACACTCCTTCTTATGGATGCATAACGTACTGGTCGATACCGTCGATGACGTAGCCGGAACCTAAAAATCCGCAGTAGCACCCGTATCCTTTGTAAACCAAAGGATTGCATCCTGTAGCGCATACCACCATATTGTAAAGATGTATCACTCCCCTCTTGAATCTCGTATGGCTCGTCGTCTCTCTTCCCTTCGTTCTAAAATTGCGAAAACCGTTTTTGTTTCAAGCTTTATTCAATATTAAAAATTTGTATAATATTTTAAGTGTTAAATACGATTTTTGATATTAAAAATTTGAAACATGATAAATTTTTTTGCGTCAGTATTTTCTAATAATTTCCATCCCATTATATAAATTTGTAGAAAGTACATTATTATTAATTGTGCTGTGACGGAAGTTTCTATTACAGCTGTGTTCGACTTACGCGGTGGGTTGCGCTTTCGTGTTGTTCACCGTCGTATTTGCCGACGACGATACGCGCACGTAAATGTCCTCGTAATTACGCGCCGAGGAGGCACCCCACGGGTCACCGCTGTGACCGATATAGAAATCCCCCTGATTTTCTGCGTCTTTTATATCATTTTTCATATGTGAATAATCATAATCCGCTCGGCGCGTTCTGGCACCTCCGAGTAACTTATAAACACCTGGCGTACCGTTACCTGAAAATGCCATAAATGCTGATAGACAAAATAGTGTCAGCGATTGCCCAGCGCGCGTACCTATACAATTGTAAACTGATATACAGTTATAACCGTAGTTCGCCATACTTACATTATTTTCAACCTGATTCATTTATTTATGATTTTAATTTGACGAATTAACATTTAAATTAATTATACTTGCTACATTATTGTTAATTATATACAATTAGAATGGTAAATGCGTATTCCCAAGTCTATGTGCACTGGCTTTCTTTATACATAAAAATATTAAGTAGAAAATATATTATTAATATTTGGAAAAACAGTCTTTTTCTTTTTTAACGCTTATACGAATCCGAAAGTGCGTGCATTTTCCGAACCACTGCGTGCCGAGCGTGTATAATAGGCGTACACGATGGTTTTTCTAACCGTCAGAAAATGTATTTCGCCTTGATTCAAACCTGCTTAGCGTAAAACTACTCTCATTTATCCCACTTCTGGCCGTTTTAACGGTTTCTCAACAATCTTCCAGAAAATGTGCCGGATAAATTGCGGCGCATCCACTCTCTGCCGAACGTATGAAATGCTGTACAGTATTTTGCAATTTCACTTTTCAGATTATCCATTCTATCGCAATGAAATGTATTTTCCACAAATTTCGCTTCACTGAAGTTATTTTAATACGTCATAAATATAAAAAAAAAATAAGGACACGTCTTTAAGACATCCTTTTCAGGATGTTTTTAAGACGTTTTTTTAAAATTTTTATATTATTTTTTATTTATTCTATTTCATCATATCTCATACCAAAGTTAGATGTAAAGCGCATTACTTTCCTACAACAAAATATGCAAAAAAAAATTTATTTCTTAAATTTATATCTAAAAATATAATTTTTTTAAATTAAAATATCTCTTAAAGAAATAGATAACACGTGTAATTTTAAATATACATTAATGAACTTATTATTACGAAGAAATTAAATCACATATTGGATAATTTTTTAGAAGAAAAAAAATTAGAAAAATAACAATGCAAATGAAATAATACGCCAAATTTGCATATATTTTTCAGAGATAGGTCAAGTATTTTTTCTTTATATGTCAGTTTTGTGTGAAGATTAAATGCATTGAAAACGGAAGTATAGATTCTCCTCAGCAAATGCTTCCCGTTTTTCGTTCTTTTTTTCGTCGTATGATGCCGATTCCATCACAATAATTTTAATTTTTCACGAGGTCGGTTTCTCGTCTCGTTACCGGTTTAACTGTGCTCGAAAATTCACGTTTCAGTTCACGGTACGCAAATACCTCGGTACGCGACCAAGATGCACTTCTGCCCATGCGTATTTTGATATTTTGATTCCATAACTGATTGTGTATTGATATCAAGGAATTTTCGTTGAAAGCGTAATAAAAGTAACGTTTACTTTTGCAGAATTTTACGAAAAAAAATTCCACGTGTTCTGACAAGCTACGTAAGCGTAGGATATTTTTTAGAATTTAATATTTTTGATATAAATACACGAATATGAAATGTGCGTATAACTATAAATTAATCAATTTTCGATCTGGACTTTGCATAATTGAGTAATTGAGTAATTATTTATATAAAATTATACTGATATATGTAATCATATCTTAATTTGCTTTTTTGCCTCTTTTTAACTAAAAAGTTCAATAATTATAAACAAACAGATAACAATGAGTAAATGCAGATTACTATACGTGTGTTGCGTAACGTTACGTAAAGCGTTTCAAAAGGAAAAAAAAAAGAGATAAAGTAATAGTATTAATAAATCTGAAATTTTAATACCATGCAAAATAAATTTCATCGTTTCGCGACTTCAAATTTATTAACAACCAGAGATAAATGGTTAGATCGAGCTAATTAACGAAGTACGTGCGTGCGAAAGCGTTGTAGCGGTCCAGGTTACTGTAACGAATTACTGTAACTGTACACACTTGTTACGGTCGACATGTCTCGCGGAGGAAAATTGAGAGATCATACACCGTTTTATCGCCGTCATCTCTTCTTCTCTCCTTCTCTCTTTCTCTTGCGGTCGGGATTACTCAACAAGGAAATTGAAATTGCGAAATGAAATGGCGCGATCGAATCGTAGCTTTTAACTGCTTTGCGGCAACAATCAACAATCCGGCGTCATAATGTTTCGCAACGTTAATTAGTCTTGCGCGGTGGTCCTCTGTAATCCGCGAGACGCAATTCCTTTTCGCCCACGGCGTTTCCATGGCGCGGCCACGTAAAAGTTTAATACATTAATTTTCTTCCTTGATGTAACGCTGTAGCGAGTATTAACTCGGCTTTCAATCGTTCATCAAATGAAATTCCATCGTAAACGTATTTACGAAAAAAGATTCAATTTACAGAAAATTTGATGAGAAACGTCGGAAATCGACAGTTAAAAGTAAAACTTAAGATAAACGCTGACTTGCAGAAACAAATCAATTCAATTGGTCGAAATTTCAATCGACGCGAAAGATAAGTCATGAATGTAAAACGATTTAGAACGAGCGAAAAGGGTTGCTTTCATTATTCAAGTTGTACATGAGATCTCGTTAAGCAAATTAATTATGCCAGCATTATTTTTCCTTCGTAGACGAAATTATCCGGCGGGTCGCTTAACCTAAATTGGCGTCTCATTGTCAGTGGTGTCGTGTGAACCGACTTAATTAGAGAGAGGTGCGGTTACATTTTAAGCTTGATATTCAATTGTGCACTTATGCGCTTTCTTAAAAGACGCTCAGCGGGACGCTCGTTGCTAGCGTTATTAAGTTGAAATAATTTCACGCGCGCATGATTAGAGCGCGATGGTTAAAGCTCACTTATTAGCAAGAAAGGGAAGACAATGATGCAAGTGGAAATTTTCCACGCGAGAAAAGATAAAACTAATTATATACACTGCATACTATATGACATGCATTAGCATCAACGTAGAAATGATTATGAATCTCCCAGAAATCCCAGAAGTAAAAAAAGCAGAGGAAAATATTAATACTATAGAACATACAGATATTCTATTTCCGTGTACGATCTACGAGGTTTAATTAAAAATTTACACGTACATGCAATTTTATTTGCAATTTTGCTTTCCGCATTTTAAGTTGCTCAGTTATAGGTTTGACATTTCACAAACGCGCAACAACCGTTGGATGCTATTAACGAAATACGTAAAATAGCGAATATTGCGGCGCGAGATAAAGACGATACTCGATGGAAATGTTTGCCTCTTATGTGAATTATGTAAATTATTTTTCATTTG